TATATATATATATATATATATATATATATATATTATATATATATATATATATATATATATATATATATATATCTATATATATATATATATATATATATATATATATATATATATATATATATATATATATATATATATATATATATATATATATATATATATATATATATATATATATATATATATATATATATATATATATATATATATATATATATATATATATATATATATATATATATATATATATATATATATATATATATATATATATATATATATATATATATATATATATATATATATATATATATTATATATATATATATATATATATATATATATATATATATATATATATATATATATATATATATTATATATATATATATATATATATATATATATATATATATATATATATATATATATATATATATATATATATATATATATATATATATATATATATATATATATATATATATATATATATATATGTACACACATATATAAATACATATCTTTATTTGCAAAAACTCTGGAGAGCAATCTGACTCGTCTTTCCTCCGTCCCACTTCCTCCAGTCTTTTTTATTACCGTGAGCAAGGACTTTGAGTCTTTAATTAACAAACACTTAATCTATTGTCTTATATATTTTCTAATCATCAATATTGATTTTGATCATCTCATTCTGCTGTTGATTTGTTAACGGCATAACCGATAGGTTTTATCATGCATTAGATAGATGTGGAGTGTTAAGGCTATTGTTCTCGACTAAAGCCTACGATAAAGTTTGGCATACTGGTCATACTTCTTCATAAGCTTGCTTCTTACAGTGTATCAGGTAACATCTTTAAGATTGTTAAATCCCTTCTCACTAATTGTATTTAAAATTGTATTGTATTGTATTAAAAGTTTGCTTTGATGGGCAGCGCTCTTCTTTATTTCTTGTAACTTCAGGGTATCCTCAAGGTAATACTTGTCTCATCCTTTTACTGTGAATGTTCCTAAGTGCTCTGAAAATTCTTTTTCATCTAGTTATTTTCCTCAAAGATCAGTTTTTGGAATTTGCTTGCATCATCTTGTTTTCCTGATTTATATAATTTGCAATCTTTCAAGTTATCTTGTAATCGTTTGCTTGCTTTATAAACTTCATATTTACTATTTCAGTAACAGTTAAAGGTAACTCTAATAGCAGTTGCTTGCAGCCGCTATTAGAGTTTAAATTATTATTAGTAGTAGTATAGTTATTACTATTGGTATAATTATAAATTATAAATTATATTATTAGTGTTGGAAGTAAAGATGTTAAAAAAAATTATGGTAAAAATTGTGTGGGTTTTTTAAAGGGATCCCCAAGCGTTGAGGCAAGTTGTGTTCATATCAAAGATAAACATTAGAAAATAAGTCAAATGTTAATTAAACCTTCCAAAACAAATTATTGAATGAGATATTAACAAAAAACTTTTAATTTTTAACACCATTTTCTTTCTCGCGAAGGAAAGATCCAGCTCTTTGACTATTTAATATTTTTATAATCCGGTCTGATTAATGCATTTTTGTATTTAATATTCGACGTCAATAAAAAAAGTTTCTTTTAAAAAATCTAAATCGAGTTTAAACATGTAGAGTATGTTTAGGGTTTACCATTTGTGGTTAAACAAAAATATAATAATAAATTTTTTAATATCAATATAATAGATATATATTAGATCATTTTAAAAACGGTATTTTGAATTATAAGTATAAATTAATATAGTAAAACATAATTAATAAATTAATATAATAAAATATAAAATCAATCACAAAAATACTATTTTATTTTTGTGATTTAGTGATAAATAGTACAAATTAATTATAAATTTTCATTTTACACTGTGTTTTATCAACACAGTGTAAAATGAAAATTTATAATTGCTCTGTTCTTTTAGAACCTTGAGCACTCTATTTGGTAGAATACATTTTTAAAATTGTTTAAATATATATATATATATATTATATATATATATATATATATATATATATATATATATATATATATATATATATATATATATATATATATACATACATACATACACACACACACTTACTAAAGCGTATTTTTATAAGCTCACTTTTTTTGCTTACCTTAACCCATACCACTTTTTTAGAAAAAGAAGAAAAAAAACAAAGAATGATGAATGAAACGATTGCTGCCCCATTCCAAACCCTCAGTCGATGTAGCAGCACTCCACTGCGAGTCAGGCTATTTGTCAGTTGATGTATGTACTTAAGCCCCCAGCAGCAGGCTACTTCAGTATGGTATCAGATCGCTTACCTTAGAACGCAATACTATTTGTGTGTATATATATATATATATATATATATATATATATATATATATATATATATATATATATATATATATATATATATATATATATATATATATATATATATATATATAGTTTCTGATCTGTTCATTTTTTTGTAAAATTCATTAAAATTACTTAGATTTAAAAAAATCTAATCATAAGTATCAGTAATATATTTGAGCTGTGAACAATAATTTGGTGAGTGTACCAAGTACAGTTTGTTGTCAAGTTGCTTTAAAAGAGTTTATAGAAATAGCATCAACTACATCAGTAGGTAGTCCATTCCAGTAAAAAGGCGCTCTTTTTGTTAAAAAATTATGTCAAGACAAAAAACTAGTTATTTAGCGATTATATTTTATTTGATGACCTTAGGGCCCTGCAAAGCCTCGAAATTTCAAATCAAATCGAATCAAAAAAATGATTTGAGGTGCGATTCGAAATTTTTCAAAAATTGAATCCTTACTTATTTTGTTTGTTTTTTTTGTGGTATTTTTGATATTCTCTGCTTTGGCGCAAAAAAAAAAAAACGTTCCTTAAATAACTTTTTAATCAGTCATTAAAAAGGTTAACCAGGGAAAGAAGCATCAATAAATAGATTATACAATTGTTTTATTTTATTTTGAAATATATATTATTAAATAAAAAATGCGCAAATTTAGACTTCAAAATGTCAATTCGAAACGTGATTTGAATTGCGAATCTAGATCTACTTTATTCAAAATTCGATTCAAAAAAAAAACTGCCAATTTGCAGGGCCCTTCTAATTACATATTAAAAGTTGTTCTATTTTTTACATTTTTAGTGAGTCACATTAACTGTAGTAACGGCTTCAGAGATTATTGCTACTTTTTCAGCAGTACAGATGCAACATTTGTAGCACAAAACTGGAATGATTCTTATTCATCATGTCAAAAATATGGTGGTACCCTGTTAAGTGTATCAGATAAAGCAGAAAATTCATTTATCTTAAATATCATTAAGAATAACATCATGATGAGGAAGCGTTTTTGGATTGGTAAGATATTTTTCTGTTCTTAATTTATTTTTTTGTAAAAGTTCAGCAAGTTTGTTTATACTTTATTATTTATAAAGGTCTTTATGCTCTTCAGAGAACATTTGTTTGGTCAGATAATACATCTACAGAGTTTTCAAATTGGTTAGAAAGTCCACCAGATAGTTATAACAGAACAGAAGGTTGTGTGGTAATATCTCGTAGTGGTTGGGAGGAAAGACCTTGCACATTTAGTTACGCGTTTATTTGTAAAGTTAAAAAAGGTAAACTGTTTAAAAGTTCTGTCAATCACCTAGCAACCAACCTCACTACAAAGTACTTACATTAAATAGAGTACTTAAAAATTTAAATAAAGTAATATAAAGTATACAATTTACAAATACTTGCAAAGTATATACTTTAGTACTGAACTATATACTTTATATACTTTTTGTACTTTTGTGAGCAAATCTAAAATCCAAGTTTCAAGTTTTTTACTCGGATGAGACAATTTGTTTCATGTTTTCTCTATCTTATAAATTTCTTTAAATACAATAACATAAATACAAAAATTCAAAACAAAACAGCTTGAGCAAAAAAGACTTGTAATTATTAGAATATTTTTCTTATATTACACATGATACTGTATAAAACGTTATTTAAGTGGATTTTTTACAATATCATATGAAATATGTGTTTATTATATCATTATATATAAGCGAAACTATATTGCTAGGCAGTAAAGCTGCGCTTATTTAGAGAACCCCCTTGTTACCATGCCTTCGCTTGAAAAGTGTTGACTAATTGCAATTGGTATAAGAATTTATAAAATATTTTTTTTAATTGCATGCATAAATTCGATAGGTCAGTGGTTTAATTTGCTGTCATTGGTGCTGTTCATCATCGGTTGGTCATCGGTTCATCATTGTTGGACATCGGTTCATCATCAGTGGTTTAATTTGCTGTCATTGGTGCTGTTCGTCATCGGTGCGAGGGTTTAAATCCGCCCCTTAACACAATATATTTTCAGTTTTTTCAATCTGGCCATATATATTTATAGCAAATATATATATATATATATATCTAAAAAGACTTTAAATTGTTAAAATAAAATGTAAAGTTTTTTTCTGCTATGGGTTTTTTTTTTTTTTTTTTTTTTGCCTTCACAGTAGCACCTTCTGGAGTAGTAGGCTGTCTAATTAAATATTTTCTTTATTAAGCTTCAGAACATAATTTTTTTCATTCGCAGTTTATTAGGACTAATTACCTGAGGCCAATAATAACATAAGTATCTCAATCATGACACAATATATTTCTCCTGGTGTTTTGATTTTTTTTAGAAATTTTTAAAAATCCTTTCGTTTTTTTTTAAATCTTTTTGTTTGTTATAGTGTATAATATTTTTACATATGTATGTAATATCTATAAAATTTCAAAATTGTTTTATTTTGTATTTTAAAAAAATTGAAAAGGATTTTAAAAGTTGCCAATAGTAGAACTTGAACCACAGCTTTTTTGTTCAGAAGCTCTGCGTGCTAACCACTCGGCCACGCTGGTGCATTGATTTACAAAAATTTTAAAACTATATAATAATGGAAATAAATGCTTCAGATCAAAATTAAGATGTTGCCACAAGGCACTTTTCAAGTGAAAGTAAAACTATAAAACTTTATATGTGTTATTATGTTTTAACATAGCATAATTTTTTGTTAGATATTTGCATACACTTTCGTTTACATTTTCTAATAAGAAAAAGCCACTTTCTCACCATTATCGCAGTTGCAAAGACTGCTAAGGGTTCTGTGTCAAACACTCTCGAACAGGCACTACTAACACTAAAAGACTTTTTGGCAATAATATATAGAGATAATATCACTAGCTAAAAGAATAATTAAATAATAAAATTCTTGCATATGTTGTATGATTTGTAAAGACAATCTTAACTCAAACTTTCAAAACACCATAGTGTTTATTCCTAAAATAATCTAAAGTGTTAGGTATTTAACAATTTGAAATAAATAATAAAAATGAATTCGAATGCAACAAAACAATATAACGAGTTTAAAATACAGAGCAATTTAAAAATTCTAAATGATTTTTATTTTATTTTAATGTATCTAAGTTGTATTTTAGAAATTATATATTACTATTAATTCATTTTTATGTAATAATCTAAGGGGTGGAAGAGGAGGGGGAGAGTTGCTCCTTTCCTTTACCCATTTGTATGCTCTTTCTATGAATATGTCATAAACTAGTTATTAAATAACACTAATTGTTCTAGAAAACATTCTCCTTTGTTACATAATTTAAGTTTTTAAAAATTCTAAAATGATGTTATTTTAGAGTCCTTACTTCTGTTATTTTAGAGTGCTTACTTTGATAAAATATTACTAAAACAATGCATAAATCTAATTTTTTAGTAGACCTAAGATAAAGTAGTGATGTACAATCAATATTTTTGCCATGGATTACAGTTGACAGCCTTCATTTTAACCATTTAAACAATAATTTACTACCGAACGATTTTGAATAAAATTGGATAAATAAGGCATTTCCTGAGACATCGAGTCCTTAGAGTAGTATTTTTGAATTCCTCAAGCTAAAAATCTATTTGGGTTCCAAAAAATCTATTTTAGGTTTTCAAGATATTATATGTCAAAGTTGCTTTGTTGTTTCTTTAGATAACTATCAAAATGCTGAATCAGTATTATTTCAACTGACAATATCTCAACCTATGTATATTTTAATTAAAATTTTCGCATTAATTTAATATGGACTGCAAATAATGTAAAAGTAAAGCAATTCTGAGGTAGTGACATGGTCAAGGTGACATGATCTATGTGATTTCATATGGAATGATCCATGCACTATTTGTATTAACAATTGGCAATTTATTTTAGTTACTAAAAAGATTTTTATTTTTGGTCTGGATGATTTTACTTGTTTACTCTGGCTTTCTTTTACATGGTTAGTGTTTTGGATTTAAAAGACTGGGAGGTGGTTGTATCAAACAAAAAAGAAATCAAATCTCCTCCTTAACTGTAGTGACACCCTTAATAATAAATAATACAAAACAAAATAACTGAACTAATATCTAATTGCTTTCATAAAACAAATTTTTAATAGAGAAACATTAACAGTTTATTTTACTCAGGGTTTCCAAATCCTATAACAATTGCCTTGTCACAAGAGTAGAAAAGTTGCTAAAAAGTTTTTCTTGAACACACCAATCATTGTTTATGACATTGTTTTGTAAAGGCTTTAAATAATGCAAAAACTTTGTAGAGGGTGTGTTTTATGTGGTTTTATTTGCTTTGTGATGTTAAATTTTTAAATTAATTCTACAATATTTGATCCTTTTTTTTAAAGTGAAGATTAATTTTGCAATGCAAGTTTAATGTCTAGACACATAACAGGTAGAATAATTTTTTCCAATGATAAATGACATGGCTGATGTTTTAGATATTAAAACAGCAAGTTCTTCATCGTGTTTAATGTCTAAAACCTCATTTTTTTAAGATGTATATTTTTTTAAGATAGCATATACCAGAAAAAATGTGCGGGTGTTCCGATGTTTGTAACAAACAAAAAAAAGATTGTTAGTATTAATTTTATTCATTTTAAAAATTGTTATTCATTTTGTTATTTATTTAAAAAGTGTTATTCATTTTGTTATTTATTTATACAAATCTGGAATCAAAATATTTATTTTGATTAAAATT